TTCGCAATTTTGGCTCTTGGGACATCTGAAATTACCCTCCAATATAGTTTTGGGTGATTAAACTTCAAATTAGGACACCCTGGGGGTGCAATTTTCAGGTGGCTACTAAGGTCCACTTTTACCTTTAATTATCCCGACATAGCCTCAGGCAAACTAGCCATATATAAATAGTCAAGACAAGTGACGCTACTAATCTTTTTCCTGTTATAGAAACAGTGGTTTAGCCGGAATCCATCGTTCACAGCGATGAAAGGAGCAGATACATTTTTTGGTAGCCAAATACTTTATTAAATTATGGTCCATAAATTCCCGAAGTATTTTAAGTGTGTGAAACGTATTTTTTAAATAAACCTGGAATATCTTTAAAGTTAGAAGTATAAATTTTCTAGAAATGCACTGAAAACTGGCTTAGTTAGTATTATTGCCTATGACACATAGCGAATGAAAAATTATGACAATAATTATTTTCAGTAATCGGTTATCTTTCATTTACTCATATTACAATATAATTTTAAGTGGTTAAGATTAAAACAACTTGAGTGTTATTAATAATTTTCCTGTGGTGTCGCAAAAGCTATACGGTGAGGAATTCCACGAAGAAGGAGACTCCAGCCAAACCGAGGCCCAGGAGCAGCAGCATAAAGGCTCCCTGCAGGTGTGTGATGGTGAGGGACCTCAGGCTGCTGTCTGACTCTGTCTCTTTTTCTGTCTCCTGTTGCTTGTACCTCCTGCGACTCTCCATCTGAGCTTTACGCAACAGGTCGTCGTTCCATCTCTCGTACAGTCCAGCCTGTGGAGCACATGACATATGAGCACCTACATTGGTCCCACACCACGATGGACTGACTGGCCTGATACACGTAGTCAGTCTTCTATCATCCAAAACCTTTCTGTGGATACTTATGCGTCACACAGTGACTTTGAACACCTTCAAAGAGATCTAGATACCTTACATGAGTGGTCAGTAGACTGGCAAATGAATTTTAATACTGATAAATGCAAGGTACTACAGATAGGGAAGACGAATACAAACGTTAAGTATAAACTAGGTAACACGGAAATAGAAAACTCAGTTTGTGAAAAAGATCTAGGTGTATTTGTTACCAACGACTTGAAACCTAGAAAACAATGTATTAGCGTTCGCAACAAGGCAAACAGGATTCTTGGGTTCATATCTAGGTCTGTGAGTAACAGAACTGCTGACGTTATCTTGAAACTTTACCTAGCATTAGTGAGGCCACACATGGATTATGCGGTTCAGTTCTGGTGTCCTTATTATAGAATGGACATAGATTCTTTGGAGAGAGTACAAAGAAGAATGACAAAAATGATCCATAATATTAGAAACCTTCCATATGAAGAAAGACTGAAAAGCTTAGTTACATTCATTAGAGAGGCGTAGAGTTAGGGGAGATATGATAGAGGTGTACAAGTGGGTAAGTGGGATTAACAAGGGTAAAATGGAAGATGTTCTGAAGCTCAGTAATAACGAAATAACTAGAACAAATGGCTTTAAATTAGATAAATTCCGATTCAGAAAGGATATAGGCAAGCACTGGTTTGGTAATAGAGTTGTGGATATGTGGAATAGGCTACCGAGAGTGCTATAGTAGGATCGGGGACGCTAGGGAGCTTCAAGACGAAGTTGGATAGGCACATGGAAGTGCTGGGATGGGTGTGAAAGGGATCTGCCCTGTATGGGCCAGTCGGCCTCCTGCAGTATCCCACTTTCTTATGTTCTTATGTTCTTATAAACCTCAAGAGTTGTTACTCTTTGGTCAATAAATACCATTATCACCAACTTGCTTACTCAAGGTAAAGTTGACTTTATGATTTCCACATGAAAAGATAATCCTGTTTTGTTTTTGTAAGTTGTTTGACAATTAGCATATAACTTACGAAGTGCAGTAAAAAGTCATTATAAAGGGAAGCACGTTGGTATGTTGAGCTATACTTTCCATTTTATGGAGAATAAATTACCTTCTAATTCACGATATTCTTTACTGATTAGGTTACTGACCTCAATGACGGCCATGAGGCAGCGGTCCAGGACAGGTCTAAAGGGAGCGTCATGGGGGATGGGCCAGGCGGCTTGGCCAGGAATGATGCTCTCCTGGCCGAGGTATAACTTGGGGGTTCCGTCCGCCCCAATGAATCTCTCCGCTATCTTTAGTTGCTGGTAGCGTCCTGCGTCGAGGTGAGCTTGTCTGCCATAACCCCAAATAATATTAAATAGTTGGTAAAAATGATTTATGGTGTTTGTGTAAAAGCTGAGCTTTACCCTAACTGTGATTGTGATCAAACATCTGGATAAGAGTGAATGTAGTGTCATTATGATGTACGAATTATAAATCTCGGTTAAAACTAACACCTACTTTTTTCAAGGAAGTTTGTTGGTATTATTGTAAAGTGTTAGTGTATTGCAGTGAGAATTTGTAAGGTTTTCCAGACAACTCTAATCTCCCTATAAAAAATAGTGACTTACTTTTTGTCAACCGCCTGTTGTTGTCCGACATTTACTGATGGAACGATATGCATCAGTTGGCCCAGTCTCTTGAACAACTGTGAATTTGACTTGCTGAAAAAATTTTTGAACTCTATTCCATACGGTGGCATCGTTATCCTGTGTTTAAGGTAGAGAATATACAATTTATATTTCGTGAAAGCTAAATTATTTTGACATTAAAGAATAGTTCTTTATGTAGAGTAAGTCCATTACATATATTATTCAGGTATGTACTAAGACACGTGAACACTACCTATCTGCAGTATTGACAAGCTCCTGGATTGTCTCGGCACGAGGTGGGTACTTGGGCAGCGTGAGGAAGGCGGTGAGGTTGCCACGATAGGCAGACCCGAATATGACAGCGAACATCAGCCACGAAGCCACCAGTACACGGCTGGAGATGACTGTGGGCAGCCGTCGTGGCAAGTTCTGTCCTAACAGCATCCCTGTAACATCCTGCACCACCTTTCCTGTGGCTACCCTGTCCCCACCATCCCTCCATTCACCAACACGAATAATCTGCAATAATAACAAGTTTCAGTATTAACACCAACATTACCCTCGTTTCACTACATTTGGAGTTATTTGGTCCTCATTAACTGCCAGTTTGGCTCCCGTTCATTTATTGGTCTATTGATGTATATCAGATTGCACTGGTGACCTGTGGTGTAGTGCATAGCATTTTGCCTAGCAATTTAGAGTACTGAGGTGTTATTTTTGGCTTTTTTCTGTATTTGCCTTTCTCTTCGCCATTCATGGTAAAGGATAATGGTTAACCAGTGCGGTTGGGGAACTGTCTGGTCTTCCTGGGCTATCCGTTTACAATGACTTACACAGGCATCTATCTTACTATGTGATTTATATGATGTCTACAGCTGTCCCATGAGGACGAGGTACTGTACATCTGTTTCTTGAGGAAGTGTCTAGATGAAGTGGTATTCTGGATTATACAATTATTAAAATGAGTTTCTAAATTCATGTGTTATGATAATGAAAATTTCATCTCCGAATATTTATGCAATCAATATGTAGAGTAATTTTACAATTCTTATTTTACATCACCTCGTTTTGAATGCCAGAAAACGATGTAACCAAATACTGTAGGTATTTTGCACATACTATCGTACGTTTATAAGATATAATGTACATCATACTATGTTGCAGTGAAGCGTAAATTTTCTTAAATGTCAAATTTACTTCTGTGTTACAGGACATAGTAATACAAAATTACATTTTTTTTATATATATTAGTATTACGTAACTCACCAACAGCAGGACCACAGGGGTGATCAGCAGCGCCAGCAGGACAGCCGCCCACACCATGTCAGTGAGCGGGTAGTACAGCGACTGCCACTGTGGCTTGATACCCGGTTGGGCCATACTGAAGTCAAGGGACCCGTACTCGTACACCCATGAGTAGTCGTAGCGTTCAAGACGTTCTGGTAACACGGTGTGGAAGACAGTGGCCATGAAGGACACTCGTTCCTCTACACGCTGTGTAACCTGCAGCCATACTGTTGTTAATTACATCATAAACCAGCATTTATGTATTAGGGTTGTGCACTGAGTTTTGGTATGTTTTATTAGATGCGTTATGAGGATTTGGAGAGATATGATGCTAGTGAAATTCAGTCCAGTCGTGAGTTTACAAAAGGAGGTTATGGCATTGGGTAGGATACGTTGGTCTGAATGCGTGGTGCGGTGTGGGTTTGGATGAAAGCAGAGGCTGCAGTTGTTGTATTGCGTGGATATGACAAGTTGTAGCGGTTTCAGGTAGTAAACGGCTGATTTAGCGCCTTTCCCTTGCTCACCTCTGCCCACGAGGTGGTGGGCACGACGTTGATAGTAAAGTTGAGGGAGTCCGCAATTGATTTTAACAAGAAGTAGTCGGTGCCAGAGTACTGTTTAATGCCATCAGGTCCCTCCAATTCGTTCCAGTATGGCGGGTAAGGCAGGGCAGTCACGTTGACCTCAACACCATAGAAGCTGAGGGTAATAACGTTCTCGTTTTATATGTTAACTACTTGAAAGCGTCATCACTCCTTAAAACTATAACGAAACAACATTTTGCTCGTAACAAAGATATATTGATAAACTATCATAACTTAACCTGAGTTTGTACGTCGCCTACTCGACAGTGTGTGAGCTATGATACCCGGAGTGTGAATAGTAACTCCTAGACTCTGTGTTTCTCTAAAATAATACCAGTAGCAGCAGCTCTGACCTACATCATCTAACTGAGGCTCGGGATAGTCAGTAATCCGTCTGTAACAAAAATAATTTTCACGGATTAATTCTCGATACTCATCAAGATCATCATTATTCTCAAGTGATGAAAAACAATCTTGGAATTATAGCTATATGTGATATGATTTATTTGGATATTATAAACTGCCAATAAAAATGTTAAATTTTCAAGAGCCATTGTGATTAAGCTGTAGGGATGTGTGTACAGTATATATGTCAACTTCAAGGGATGTTATTACAAGATTACTTTGAGAACTTAGGAGGGAAGAGTGAACGGCCCTCTCTTACGACGAAGCCGCGTCTTGGTGTCCAGGAAGCAACTCTCACCACCTTAGCTCCCTCCGGGGTGTATGGCAGGTGGGTGTACACGCTGACCCTGTCCCTGGTGGAGGTAAATATTATATATTACTCAAGAAGTGTGTGTGTTGATTTTTCTCGATTAAATGATCATAAATGGACAAAGATGATGGACACTTGTGGTGACTGTAAAGGATGGCCTCTTTACATGTACTTCAACTCTGTACAAATTCATCGACCACCCAATTACAGATGATTTATTATCGACTGTGTAAATAATTAATGGTACAAGATTAGAGACTAGTAGAGGTAAAATGTATTCTTGGTTGAGGCACAAAGTATGTATTCGGAGTGGCCATGTTTGGAAATGTTAATGGAAATGGATGAACTCTACTCTAGGTTGAGCATTGTGTAGATTACCTGAGGTTGGGTGGTGTGTCCTCTAATTTGAACAAGATGGTGTTAATTTTGTATATTACCTGAGGTTGGGTGGCGTGTCCTCCAGGTTGATCAAGATGGTGGTCATTGTGTATATTACCTGAGGTTGGGTGGTGTGTCCTCCAGGTTGAGCAAGATGGTGTTCATCATGGAGAAGGTCCAGTGGGAGGACAGGAGGGCGTGGAGCTGTGGGAGTGGGAGGCTGGTGACCACCAGCAGCTTGGTGGCCCACACCAGGAGGCGACCCTTGACGGACCACTCGGCGAAGGTGGCGAGGAAGACCGGGTCGTGACACACCACCACCACCCGCACACACCGAGACTTGAGCCTCACCTGTGACAAGACAGGGTTATGACCTATATGTTTCTAATTGTTATTACGCAGCAAATGTAATCACCGTTAAGATAATTGGTATAAATTAGTTTTTAGATGGTAACCTAATTTTTTTTAATTATATATATATCTAAATATATATTATAAGCAGTCCAGAATTGGCGTAAAGATGATTACTCACAGGCTCAGCAGTACAGACTCAGTAGGTAGGAAATTCAGGGGCCAGAGACTCTCATGCTGTCTGGAATCAGTTAAATAAATCTGGTGCATTCCACAGACTGATCCAACGGATCTCTGATAGAACGAGTGCCATTTGTGGATCTATTGATGGTTTGGTCTAGGTGAGAGATGGACGAGCCATTTATGTTTATTCCACCGTTTGACCTTTTTTTCTTGAGGAGGCTGGTGGAATAATTCGGGTAGTGACCTTCTTGTAGATCCCATTTGAGCAGAGGCTAAGTGAGCATCCTGCTTAGTGCGATGGAAAGCCTATCAATCTTACAGGGAAGTGACTTGCTTATTGTGATGGTGTATTATCCCCTATCTAACAAACAGTTATACCTAAATAAATGTGGGTTACATACATTAGGTTTTTATAATTATATCACCACGGTAATATTCCTGTGAGCCGTGATTAGTCATCAATTGGACATGTGACAGTGTACTCCCACTGTGCCCTCACACCTTGACCGCAGAGTCATCAATTGAGTAGCCGGCTATCGCCAGTTCGTCTCCCACCTCTGAGCCAATGAGACGTGAAGCTCGTTATACTTAAGCTTCGTCCCTTATTTATGCTCACAGCTCAAAGCGATGATTACGGTGATATCCTAGTTATAGTGCAATATTTTATTTTCTTAATAAATGGAGAAAAGACTATTTGGGTATAAAACGTAACCCATAAACATTTGTAAATGTTGCTTCCAGTTCACCTCTAATTAGTGATTCCACAGGTAACCGGAAACTGCAACAGTGGGAAGAAAGTAACTTTCTAATGCATTAGCTTGGAGCTGGTGAGAGAGTTACCCAATTGTTGATCCAAATGAAGCAGGTGGCAGAGTGACCTACCTGTCGAGCCTGGCGAAGGAAGCGGGAGAAGATCGCCTGCGTCACATTACCGTCCTTGCCGTCTACCTCCACCTTGAAACACCCCACCCCCCAAGGGCTTCCTCGTACTACACTCTCCACCTGAGACGTAGATGGCTCTTATAACCATTTGATATTCATAACAGTGGCCAGATATAGTCATAGCTAGATACAACAACATAACTAACTAAAAATAAGATGCAGTTGTTCGTGACTGCACATTTAGTATTTCAAGATGAAGAAATGCCTTTGTAAATTTTTTAAAACGAAGGAAAACATAACGTAAGTTTGAAGGATAATTGGAAGCTACTCAAGAACATAAAGCAAGTGGAGGCTGCGTCAGAACATACAGCAGGTGGAGGCTACGTCAGAACATACAGCAGGTGGAGGCTACATGAGATCATGCAGCAGGTGGAGGCTACATAAGAACATACAGCAGGTGGAGGCTACGTCTGAACATACAGCAGGTGGAGGCTACATGAGAACATGCAGCAGGGGGAGGCTACATAAGAACATGCAGCAGGTGGACGCTGCTTAAGAACAT